TTATTTAACGGCCATAAAAATTATTTATATTAAGGATGTCTCCAAAGGTCAACGAAGTTTTCGCAGAAAAATAATATCAGAAATCGCGGCTTCGGTTTGATGCGCTGTTCCGCGTCGAAACCAAGCTTTAGCAACGGGCGTAGTCGAACGGTAACACTCGGTAAGCAATCCTACAATTTTTTGTTTATAACGTAGTTTATACGGATTATTTTCAAAAAAAAATATACGTATTTTGGAAATGTTGAGTCGAATTAGTCTAGAATCGATTAATTTTATGAAAGAAAACCTTTCAAACAGCCGTAGTCCGTAAACTATGATTTCTACAAAATTGATTCATAAAGAACGGAACGTATCTACCGTCTTATAGGGGGATCTACTGTAATCAACAGTGTTATAGGGGGATTGACTGACTGTACTCCATTCTTCTCTTTGGAAGAGAATGTATAGAAGTATGAAATTAAAATATGGAATGTAATATGGAAAAATAAGAAAAAAAAACATTTGCCAAAAAGTCAACTAACCAGATATATTAATACATTTTGAAACGGTACTGGTTTTAAACTAGTTTTTAACTACTCTTAAAAGATATCTAGGTTAACTGAGTTTTGAACCAATCTGTACAAAATATATCTGATGTCCAAATTCAAAAATATACATTGTTATTCTGGCATTCTGTTACATTCTCTAAATTCTTTTCCCACAAAAAAAAGAGGAGAATGTAAAGAATGTAAGAGAATGTGAGAGAAATATTTGATTTTTGACTTCAAGTATTTTTATTTTTAAATGAAAAACAAATTTAACTTTTTTAAAGAAATTTTATAAACTTCTTAACCATTCAGTTTATCTCTAAAAAGTGAAAATTGTCACAGAAAGTACTACAATCTTTCCAAACTGAAGTTTTTTTCGGTATCAAAATATGTTTTGAATTATATCTGAATGCATTTTGATAAAGAAATATGAAGCAATACGACTCTACTTAGATGCGATACTGTGTTATAAATCTATTACTATATTTCTTTCCGTATTGTTGAGTACGTTTATGATTCTTTATAAGAATCATGTTTAAGCTGATGAATTCTTCACCACCCGTCGCTCCATTGTGGGGACTTGGCCGAACTCATAATGGGCTTGATAAAAAGTCCTCGGGGCAGAAAGACAAAAAATCATAAATTGAATCAATTTTATTAAGATTACTTCTCGAATAAGATGTTTATTAATTAACTTATTTATTTTTGGCGAGTAAAACTAACTTTTTTGAATCTACATACTGTATATAAGCTACATATATAGGCCTACATTGAAGAACTTTTCATATATGAAATAGATAATAATTTTAAAATTATTTCTGAATTAAATATTGTTTATAGTCATGGTATTTCCATCTTTCTCAAGCAAATTACAGATTATTTTATATACAGTAAAACCTGTCAATTTGGACAACCCTATATCTTGAACAACTTAATGTAACACGACAAATCTCTATAATTTTACATATACATTATATAATATTCTGTATCTTGAACACTTCTGTACTTTGAATTAAGACATCTTTTTGTGACTTAAGTTGGATATTTTCAGAAATTTGTCTTTAATTTTTAACTGTTGAGTCATCCTACACAGGTGTCCTGCTTTAAGGTTTTATTAGTTAAGGAAATTTATGACAAACACCCTTTTTACGGCATTTTGGGAGATTTTCTATATTCCTGACTACCAATGGCATCAGGTATCCTTTCTTCCTGAAGACCAGGGCTGCCATTTTGGCTACTTCATTAATTAACCATTTTTGCACACAAAAATTATGCTGTCAATTGACTACAAATTTCACTAAGTAACTTTGGAGAAAAAATTGGTGGCCTTTGTTCGCCACTAGTTGGCATTTATTGGTGTGAGTCTGATCAATGTTTTAATGCATTTCTGAACTTACATCAGCCATTGAGTGTAATTGAATATAATTTTTAAAAATTTTTATGTTTCCTACGTACACTAACACAGCCTTTTTTTTTCTAGTCTATGGTGGGCTCAGCCAGGTTCACAATGGACGATCGTCCATTGTGAACCTGGATCTGATGTATGCAAGGACAGGGTCTGACATATCCAGAACGGACCACTCCCCAAAAACTTCTTGGGTTTGTCGACCTGTCTGGATTCGATTTCACATCGTCCAGAGTGGTTATTTGCCTTTGTCATCCGACCTTTATTTGACTATTGCCTTCCAATGGCTATGTGGATAACATCACTGAACACCAGACCAATGGGGTCATGGATTCGCTCCTCACTAGCAGGTTGACGAGTGGAATTTCCTGGGTTTTCTTCACATATCTAACATCTAAATAGGTACCAGTTTTCTATAATATCCTATGTGTTACATTGCCCACATTATTAGCCTAAATCAATCATTTAACTGTTAGTCCTACTCAAAATACAGTATGTATAATGATTTAAAAGAGCGTTAAAGCTAAGGCAAAATTAAGTGATTGTGCTATTAATAATGTTATTCACTCAACACATACACACATTTTGCTTTATACAACTTAGAATAGGTACACTATTCTTGCATTCTAGATTAATTTTCATACTTTCAGGACAGAGACTACTCACTCTATATCTTGGATACCTGTCTAAATTGGACACATTCTTATGGAACAAGGACGTCCAATGTAAAACGATTATACTGTATATAATATCACAATTATGATTTTTTAACTTATATCTTGTAAATTTTCTTATTTTTGTATATAAAAAAATAACCGAGTCTTCCCACTGAATATAAAAAAAAAACCAAAATAAAGAATTCGTACTGAGATATCATTTAAATATTACTTTCACTTCACATATAATCCCGAATATTCTTAAAACGTACATTTAATTTGTAACTAAATTTATTTATTTATCTTCCATTGCTATATAATTGTGATCCATGTCAAATATTCATATATTAAGATGTTTCTTTTTAAATTAGTTTAAGAGCAAAGGACAAGAGACTTTTGGTTTCTTAAGATGGAAGAAACGAAAGATTAAAAATAGGGGAAAAATACAGGAATAAATGATAAATTAATTAATGTACAAATTTATTAGGATATTAAATTTATTATAATTTGAAATTTCATTGAATAATTCATATTTGTAAGAGAATAACATGCAAACGATTGTAGATAATTAAGATGGTCCGCAATAAGAATTGCATGCTGAGAGTTAAACAAGTAGTCATTGATAATTCCACAGCTTGATTGTAATTAAATTGAATAATTTATCACAATTGAAACTTGAATATCATTTAAAATAGATTTTCTACACTTTTAAGTAAATTAAAAGTAACACTTATAAAATTGTAATTAATAATTAAATAAATCTTTTATTTAGCATGTAACACAAGAAAGTTTTAATTAAATATATCTATTTTTAAAATAGTTATATGCACTTACTTTACTTTCTTTATATGAAAATACAAAATATACATTAAGAAATAAGAAAATATACATGTTTACTAGTATATATATTTATAAATTCAATATTCTTTTTAATTTTGTAAATATAAATACAATTAAATCAAAAATAATTTTTGAGAATGATGTTTATAAACAGTTTATTACTTAAAAAAAAACAGCAACGTCTAAGTAACAAATGAATTTATATTCTGAATAACATGAAGTTATTTATATTGTTTAATTTATCAGTCTTTTACATGTTTGATGAATATTTCTAACACCATTTATGACAGATACAGCCTATGGTAGGAGGCCGGAGTTCCATTCGATCTAATAATAATAGCAATGAGTTTATTTTTTTTTTTTTAANGCGAGCAAATATAGGTCAGACGTTGCCTGACCACTTCCTGTCTTCAACTGTAGAAGAGGCAGATATTGAAAGATTTCAAATTTTTTTCTTTATTTTTTATAGAATATGGTGGCAGGATAATAATTTACTTTGCTCTTAAATTCTCGCGAGTATAGAGGGAAAAAAAATCGTGAAAATTAAATTACAACTCATCTGGATTGTTGTGATGGAATGATTAGAAACCATGTCAAAGCGCTAATTGTAAATACATGTACATTTAATAATTACTGTCATTATGCCTTTAAATGGATCTATTTTAGAGCACGTAATCACTCTTAATTTCAAATTAAATATTGTAGTTTTCATATTGCTACTTTCAAGTTTCTTTACTAACATCTTATACAGATAAATAGGGCCTCTTTTGTATAAGGCCTGGGAGTAGAGCTGGCCCCTTTGTTTGTTAGAGTTTACCTTTGTCTGTTTTTCGAATATTTCTTTATTGCTAAAAGGCAGTTTTAAATATTATAATTTATTGTTGGTAAAAATAGCATTTATTTATAGGAGTAAGAACCATTACGGACGTTTAAATTTTTCTCAATCTAAGGCAAAAAATCTCCTTCTCGACGGTCCTGTACATAAAACTATTTCTTGCATTTTATTCTTATGAATAAGTTTCAAAGAAATACAACGTATCTATAAAATAATCCATCAAAAAAAAATTTCTATTTTCATACGGTCGCAATAAAAAAAAAAAAAAAGAAAAGAAAAGAAAATTTATATTTATCAAAAACTTGATACTTCTAAATAAAACTTTTCGATAAGCTTTTTTAATATGTTACTTTTATATATATATAAATATATATCGAAATGTGTGCAAATTGAAATAAGAAAAATTTGCATTATTATCATATGTAAATCCTACTTTGGAAATCAATCTTGAGTATTAATGTTTGTTATTCGAGATCAAACATAATGCTTCCAATTTTCGATCGCATTCGCGGATCCGAAAATTCATCACACAAGTTAATTCATTGTTTCAGTTAGAAAAAGAAACTAAAATTTGGAAATTCGCCAGAAAATCATGCGTCAAAAATTTTTATTTTCCTTCCTTCCCATCTATAAACTTATATTATGCAAAAATGCATAATGAGAAGAATGTTGGGGGGGGGTGAATAACATACACTAATAAAGTTAAGCAAATTTTCCATTGAAAAAGGTATCTTGACCCAGCAAATTTCTATTTACATTTTTATAACCGGAAACGGATTTTTTTTTTNCTTTCTGGGAGGAATTCCTATGAGAAAATGGTTCTGTTTAAGTGTTTGTTGCCTGTTGAAGCCTCACCATTTTGTTGAGGCTTCAACAAAATGGTGAGGCTTCAACAGGCAACCAACTACCAGTGTTCAGCAGTATTATCTACTCGACCACTGATGTGTAACAATAGTTTAAACTGTAACAATACCATAGTGAGAAGATAAACAAATCATACATATTTAAATTTTTACATAAAATAATAGAAAAGATATAATAAAGAAAATAATATTTTAAAATAAATTATAAAATTTATTTGTATATTTCTAAAACATTAAAAATCTTTCTTTTATATTATAATTTTTTCGGGTTTATCAAATGTATTATCGATTCTTAATTTAAATGGACAGTAAACGAATAATAATAATAATTTTAGTACTTATTTTATCTTTATGAAAAAGAAATTTTAATTGAAAAATCGAATAACAAACTATAAATATGAAAATAACAAAAATAGAAATGAGATCTTTAAAAGGAGAAAGAAAACAAAATAAATAAAAACAAAACAATATTTTCTCTTCCTATCTTTCAAACGATAAACACGATGATCCTACCTCTTATTTATACTGTATTGTAATAGAAAATATTTACACTTAGAATTATTCAAGCGCATTCAGAGAGAAATAATGGGAATAAGCAACCTTGTGAGATTTTTCCATTGTTAAGACGATCTTCCATTAAAATTATATTATAAGTTTTCAATACATTTTTTTCTTGTAGAAGAAGCAAAATAATAAAAACGAATACTAAAACTTTAGATTAATTAAAGATTTAATAATATAAAATAAATTTATTATTTTATAAAATCGTTGATACTTTATTAATATATAATCAAAAGTTTTTAAAACTTGAAAAGTTTGGTGAAAATTGTTAGAAATAGAAATACTTTAATTAACTGCAAATGTTTAGCTTCATTGGCTTTAATCAAGTAATTAACTGATTTTGAACATATTTAAGTATTTCTGATTTAACAAGTTTTCAATTACATGCGTCACTCAACCATATTATTCGCTATTATTCTCTTTTATAATAAGATTATTAATTGATCTATTTATATTTGTTTTAAGATCTGACTCAATTTTCTTTTACTGTTTAATATTTATTATTGATCTTAATATATTACATAACGTTGATTACAGAAATTAGTTTTTCGAAACTTTATAAAAAAAATTAATTATTCGATTGAATTTTTCGTATCAAATATTAAATAAGTAACAATATAATAGGTAATTGAAAGTGTAAAAAGTATACAAGTCGATCTCCCTATAACATTGTTGATAATTCCGTTTTATATGAATTTCATGTTGTACGAGTCACTTAGATTTTACAAATACGTGAGCCGTTCACAGCCCGGCACACGTAGAGTGTTATAGGGGGGTCGACTGTATTTGTATTATATTGTAAACAAAAAAAATTTTTAAATAGAAAGTAAACCCAAGGAATAAATAATTTATAACAAATATTTTTGAGCCCCGTAAATATAATGAGGGACTGAATGCCAACTGTAGTAACACAATTATCAATAACTAGACTCTTTCAGAGCAATTTTCATGGAAAAAAGGTTCATTTTCTGTTTAAAAAATGTGTATTGAAGTTGGCACACGATAAAAAAAAGAATTGCAGCAAACAAAAGCTTATACACTTCAAAAAAAATAAGAACGATGTCAAACAAAAGCATTGCATGAAAATATCTCGTTAAAGATTTTCTTGCAGCATTTTTTAAAATGAACTTGCTATATTAAAAAATTTAACGCATTAAAGTGCTTGTAGAATTAATAATATGCGAATTAATAAATAATTTATCCCGTGTTACATTAAAAGTTGACAATATATTATTATTTACTATTATAAAAATTTTTTCTAAATGATATTCATCCCGAAGGAAAATATTTGTGGAAGAGTAAAATCTGTAAAACATAATGTTTGCAATCTACCAACATTACTTGCCAAGTACTTTTGACAATATAATGACAAACATATAAAATATAACCACAATACTTCTTTTAGGAGATAGTGATACTTTTTGAGGGATTTTTGCAACGTTACACAGTAAGGCAATTCCAATAACTTTTCTGAACTTCAATGACAGATACGAAGACAACCGAGTCCCATGCCAAACACGTCGTCTTCTATAATCTCTGGTGGGTTGACCGGAAGCCACCAGACTAGATTAGAAAGANGAAAAGTTTGGTGAAAATTGTTAGAAATAGAAATACTTTAATTAACTGCAAATGTTTAGCTTCATTGGC